GCCTCAACCTGAGAGGCTCCAGCGATCCTTCCGTCTCAGCCTTCAGGTAGCTGGAACTACAGGTGCGCGCTACCACGCCCGGCTCATTTTTGATTTATTGTAGAGATGAGTTCTTGCCAAGTTGCCCATGCGTGTCTCGAACCCATGGCCTCCCAAAGCGCTGGTATTACACGCTGAGCCGCCGAGCAAAGAATCTTTTCTAATCTCAGATTAATCTTTTCTCCCTGTGGACTCCAAAGCAATTGGAACGCCTGACCCAGAGCAAATGTTCATTAATATCGGCCCGTGTTTCCTTCTTTTTTTGAGTCGGTGTCTCACTCTGTCGCCCAGGCTGGAGGGCAGTGGCACCCTCACGGCCACCGCAGCCTCGGCCTGCTGGGCTCAGGCCATCGTTCTGCCTCAGCCTTTCAAGGAGCCAGAACCACAACGTGTGCCACCACACCAGGCAATTTTTGGATTGATTGTAGAGACAGGGTTTCATGAAGTTGCCCAGTCTGTTCTCCAACCCCTGAGCTCAGGCAGTCCTCTGGCCTGGACCTCCCAAAGTGCTGGGATGAGCCGGGCTCGGTGGCTCAGCTGTAATGCCACGCCTTTGGGAGGCTGAGGTGAATGAATTGCCTGAGCCCAAAGGTTCCTGACCCGCCTGGGCAACTTGGTGAGACCTCATCTCTACAATAAGTCAAAATGAGCCGGGTGTGGTAGCGCATGCCTGTAATTCCAGCTACTTGAAAGGCTGGAAGGATCGCTGGAGCCCGGCAGGTCGAGGCTGCAGTGGCCCGGAGAGGCCACGGCACTCCAGTCTGGGCGACAGAGTGAGACTCCAACTCAAAAAAAAAAAAAAAAAAATGAGCCGGTCTCAGTGGCTCAGCCTGTAATCCCGCGCCTTTGGGAGGCTGAGGTGAGTGGATTGCCTGAGCCCGTGGGTTCGAGACCCACCTGGGCAGGCGAGACCTCATCTCTACAATTAAAAAAAAAAAATTAGCTGGGTGTGGCAGCGTGCGCCTGTAGTTCCAGCTACTTGGAAGGCTGAGATGGAAGGATTGCTGGAGCCAAGTCTGGGCGACAGAGTGAGACTCCAACTCAAAAAAAAATAACGTGAGTGAAAAAGATTAAAAATAAAGGGAGAGCTTGAGGAAGCCACAGGGTCCTTGAAAGAAGGAGCTAGTAGCAAGGGAAAGTTGATAATGCTAATTACCTAGACAGAAGATAAGGGGAACCATCTAATGAAAATGCAGGCCCAGGCCAGGTGCCCGGTTGATTTTTGATTTATTGTAGAGATGAGGTCTCACCAAGTTGCCCAGGCAGGTCTCGAACCCGTGTGCTCAGGCAATCCACTCACCTCAGCCTCCCAAGGTGCAGGATTACAGGCTGAGCCACCAAGCCCGGTTTCACTCACATTTAAAATGATTAAATGCCCAGCCAGTCATGGTGGGTCACGCCTGTAATCCCAGCACTTTGGAGGCTGAGGCAGGAGGATCACTGGAGGCCAGGAGTTTGAGACCAACCTGGGAAACACAGCAAAACCATATGTCTCTACAAAAAAAAAAAAATTAACTGGGTGTGGTGGCACTTGCTTGTAGTTCCCACTACTTGGGAGGCTGAGATAGGAGGATCCCTTTAGCCTAGGAAGCTGAGGCTGCAGTGAACTATGATCAAGCCACAACACTGCTTGCATTTTCACCATCTCATTTATCTTTACTTTTTCCTGCTTGTAAAATTAATACATGCGGACTGAGTGTAGTGGTTCATGCCTATAATCCCAGCACTGTGGGAGCCCGAGGTGAGAGGATTGCCTGATCTCATGGGTTCGAGACCAGTCTGGGCAACTCAGACCCCATCTCTACAATAAATCTAAAAATTAGCTGGGCGTGGTGGTGCATACCTGTATTTCCAGCTACTTGGAAGGCTTAGGCAGAAGGATCCTCTAAACCCAGCAGGTCGAGGCTACGGTGGCCGTGAACATGCCACTGTACTCCAGTCCGGGCCACAGAGTTAGACCCCAACTAAAAAAAAAAAACCCAGAAGAACAAAAATAATACATGCTTATTGCAAAACAAAGTATCTCCAAAATAGTTTAGTCTAACATAATATTTATATGGTAACTTCTATGTGCTAGAACTGTTTTAATTACCTTATGAGGCCAGGCATGGTGGCTCATGCCTGTAATGTCACCACTTTGAGAGGCCAAGGCAGGAGAATTGCTTGAACTCAGGAGTTCGAGACCAACCTGGGCAACATGGTGAGTCCTCTTC